AGGGCAACCACAATTCTCAAAAGCTTCACACACTCTTAATCAAGACAGTTTGAAGCAAAACCAATTTATGGTGCCAACAAAAGCTTCATCAAAGGAGTTCAACCACAATTCTCAAAAGCTTCACACACTCTTGATCAAGACAGTGTGAAGCAAAATCAATTTATGGTGCCAACAAGAGCTTCATCAAATGAGTTCAACCACAATTCTAAAAAAGCTTCACACATTCTTGATCAAGATAGTGTGAAGCAAAACCAATTTATGGTGCAAACAAGAGCTTCATCAATGGAGGGCAACCACAATTCTCAAGAGCTTCACACACTCTTGATCAAGACAGTGTGAAGCAAAACCAATTTATGGTGCCAACAAAAGCTTCATCAAAGGAGTTCAACCACAATTCTCAAAAGCTTCATACACTCTTGATCAAGACAGTGTGAAGCAAAACCAATTTATGGTGCCAACAAGAGCTTTATCAATGGAGGGCAACCATAAGTCTCAAAAGCTTCACCCACAAAAGCTTCCCCCACAAAAGTTTCCCCCACAACAAAAGCTTCACCCACAAAAGCTTCCCCCACCACAAAAGCTTCACCTACAAAGCTTCAACACAAAAGCTTCACCTACAAAAGCGTCACACTATCTTGATCAAGATAGTGTGAAGCAAAATCAATTCATTGTACCCAACAAAGCTTCAACCTCAAAGCTTTATCTACAGAGCTTTACCTATAAAACTTAATATATATATATTCGAAAATTCAAAAATTTAGAAATTAGAAAATTAGAAAATTCGAAAATTAAAAAAAAAATTGCCTAGGCCTCCTCTTCTTTGGGCCTAACAACTTTCATAATAAATATATATGAAGGAGGAGTTTTAGGCTACCACTCAGAAAGGGAAATGGTGAAGTTTTGTTACTTTGGAAACTTGGCTAATAGCAAGACACCTCATTCGTCAACTCCCTCGATCGGAGACTTGGGGGACTCCTACCATATGCTACTGCACATTGATACTCAGAAGTCTCACGACCACTCAGTGACTTGGATTTTTTCAAGTCTCCAACCAAGAAGTTTTCCTTACTCGGGAAATTAAGGGAGCACTACCTCAACCTACATGCTTCACTCACAAAGCTTCAACATACAAGCTTCAACAAAAGGAAAAATTCAAAGAACTTAGTGAAGAAGGCCTTGGTGTATTTAACACAATACGTTGAAATGAAGTAAAACTTGTTTATTGATATCTCCGATAAGTTACAAATATGTACATATACATGAATCAAAATAAACAAACAAGATGGAGCCTTCACAAAGGTTGCTCAGGAGAAGTCTCAGCAGTCAGCAGAGCCCCAGAAAGAGGAGGCACCAGATGGTGATTATTCGGAGCCTCGGTACTAGGTAGAACCCCAGAAGGAAGAGGCACCGAAGGTTGATCATTTGAATCTTCATTACGCGGTATAGCCCCAAAAGATGAAGGCAATAAATGCCTTTGGAACAAACCCACAAACCTCTGATGATCAAGTAAAATCTGACCATCACATTCCTGCAGTTGGTCGAGCTTCCTCTTCATGTTTGTAGCATAGTCATGTGCGAACCTGTGCAACTGTTTATTCTTATGCTTGAGCCCTCTGATATCATGTTTGAGACTTATCACTTCAGCCGCCAATGATTCAACTTGGCGGGTTCGAGCAAACAGACGTTAGGCCATATTACACACAGAACACTGAAACCCAGAGAATCCTTAACAGCCAACTCATCAGACCGTTTAGAAAGTAGTTTGTTATCTTTGGAAGTGAGAAGGTTCCTGGCCACCACCGTAGCGGTCATATCATTCTTCATCACAAAGTCACCAACGGTAAGAGGACCAGTAGGGGATAAGAAGGATGGGCGCCATATGTTGTCATGAGAAGGCATGGCTGCCTCTTCACCAAAGTTCAAGTCAAAACGACGATCGGATAGGCCAGACATTCTCAGAAATTATGAAGGAGAAATAAGGTGCAATAAATCTCTGAAGTACAAAAATAAAAGGAAAATCCCTGCAATAACTCTCTGAATGTACTTCTTGCACACAATTGGTGCCCTTATAAAAGAAAGGGCAACATGGCTGTTGGTTTAAAAATTGAAGAGGCACCACTCTCCGGATTTCGAGAAACTGATTTTCCTGAGTAAAATATGTCGACAATCTCCACACGCAACATCAGCTCCTCGAGTACCACAGATAACTTTGCCAAAGATCTCTGACAAAGTTTAGATGCATAATTTTTAAAGGTCTAGCTACCCTACTATTACCCACAAGGGTAAAGGAACAACACCACTGCTTGATAACTGGAAAGTCCCTATGTGTGTTAACCTCCGTGCTCTGTGGCAAGGCAAACTGGCAAAAATGCCCAACCTTTACTCACATTCGAGAAAACACTCCCAACAAGATTGCTTGCTAAAAAATCGAAGAGGCACAGCTCTTCGAATCTCGAGAGCCAGACTCCCAACAGGATTACTTGCTCAAAAATCGAAGAGGCACCGCCCTCTGAATCTCGAGAGCTAGACTCCCAACAGGATTACTTGCTCAAAAATTGAAGAGGCACATTTCTCCAAATCTCAAGAGCTAGACTCCCAACAGGATTGCTTGCTCAAAAATCGAAGAGTCACCGCTCTCCGAATCTTAAGAGCCAGACTCCCAACAAGATTGCTTTCTCAAAAATCGAAGAGGCACCGTTCTCCGAATCTCGAGAGCCAGATCCCCGACAGGATCACTTGTTTGAAAACCGAAGAGGCACCGCTCTCCGAACTTCGAGAGCTAGATTTCCTTGGATAAAGCTTGTCTGCAATCTTCACACGTAAGATCAGCTTTCCAGATACCACAGACCACTTTTTCAAAGTACTCTGACAAAGTTAAAACACGTAAATCTTGCAGCTCCCACTACATTGCTATGACCGATAAGGGTAAAAGAACAGCGTTACCACTCGCTGTTGGGACAATTTCTATATATGTCGACCTTCATTCTCCACAGCCAGGCAGACTTGCAAATAAAAAAAATGCTCAACTTTTCTTCACATCCGAGAGGGCACTTTCAGCAGTCTCTCGAAATACTCAGCTTCTTTTCCCCCCGATAATACCTCTACAAACAAGTCACACCAGAGCAAGAGTATCTCATATCATCAGGGTTAAAAGTAAGAGTATCCCATATCAAGTTTTTCCCTATCTTTTCCTTTGGCCTTATTCTTACCTGCAAGACAATGAGAAAGATAACAATCAGTCAGCACTTGGAATCAAGTTTCTAGTCAGGAACTGACTGCCTGGAACCTCTTGCCTGATTACTTACCTGACATTTCTCTCGAGTACTCATCTTCAACATTCTAGAGAGGATACCACATCTGCTTGAGGAATAGATAGGGCAAGTGAGAAGGATACAAGGAATCATGTGGAGACAATCATAACAGAACACGTGCCGATACATCCACTACTTTGTCAACAACAAAAGTTTACCATATCATCAGGGTCGAACGTACTCTAGATTTAATGGACTTGTTTTGACCCTCAAATTCTTGAGTCGGCTTTATACTCTGGAGGAAACCAGAAAACCCTCCAGCCCAGTTCAAGAATAAGCATGTGGAAAGTTACTTCTTCAAAAGCAAAAGTATCTCATATCATATCTTCTCCATTTGCTTTTCCTTATCCTTGTTGTTGTTTACGACACAAGGAGAAGGAGAACAATCAACTGGAAGTCGAAGTTGAACTTCCGATCTAAGTTGCTTGCTTGGAAGTTTGATTGCTGTTACCTTGTCTGTTACCTCATTCGGCAAATCTCCTAACTCGGCGACTTGGGGGACTTCTACTATAAGGGTTGTATCGCACTTGACCAAGCCCGAAACTACAAGTCAGCTTCAAGTGAAATTGATACATTACCTTGTGCATCTTCATCGGTTAAAGATACCACCCCTGGATGGAGGAAAAGTACTTCCAGAGAAGATGTCACATCTACATATGAGACAGATAAGGCAAGTGAAAATGATACCACACTTTGGTACTTAAAAGTTTCGTGATTACTCAATGGCTTGGATCTTGCAAGTCCCCAACCGAGAAGCTTCTTTTACTCGGGAACTTAGGGGAACACTATTTGTACCATACTTGACCAATCCTGAAACTACTGAGCACCGGTCAACGTTATACCGTCAAGGACCCAAAAGAGTTTCCCTCCAACCAGGAGGCCAATCACAGTGCGACACATGTCGACATCAGAAGCCAATCATAACGCAACACGTGTCAACATCAGAAGTCAACAACACGACACGTGTCAATGTCAGAATGAAACTAGAAACTCTCTTCTATAAATAGAGATCATTCTCTCACAATATTTTCTAATGTCATTTATACTAAATCATTCACTAGTACTCACTAAAGGAGAGCTTGAACCTATGTACTTGTGTAAGCCCTTCACAATTAATGAGAACTCATTTACTTCGTGGACGTAGCCAATCTGGGTGAACCATGTGCATCTTATGTTTGCTTCCCTGTCCCTATCCATTTACATACTTATTTACACTAATGACCGGAGTAATCTAGCGAAGGTCGCAAACTTACCACTTTCTGTTGTACCAAAGTCCTCACTGATTTTGTGCATCAACATAATTCTTAAATTATACTTCTCAAAAGTCTTTTGGATTCCAAACAAAAAATAAAAAAAGAAGAAAAGAAGTGAAAGTGTGCAAACAAAATGTGATGGAGAGCAAACAAAGTTGGGATACCAAGGCATGTGATTCCCTAGAAGAAGAGGCAAAATATTATTAGAAAATGGTGAAAGGATGGCAAATCCTGTGATCATGCATCACCATAAGGAAAGCCACTCACGTGGTGTTGAACAACAAAAATATACAACAAAAAAAATAAAGTCCATACAAATTGGGTCAAATTACAAGGCAAAACAAAAATGTGATCCAGCCCAAAAAAAAAAAGAGGATGGGCTTTACATACAAATTAACATCCATAAATAAATAAAATAAAAAAAAATTAAATCTGAATGTCTTCCTACAAAAGGGGGAGGAAACTGTGCAAAGCCGATTTTTTTGCAAGGCATAAAAAAAAACTGCATAGTTAGTGGGAGAAGTTAAGGGAAAGTGACAAGAGGTTAGAACCTCCATCTTCCCCACGTAACAAATTCTAGAGCTTTCTTGGGACACCTATAAATAGGCATCACCTGCAGCAAGTAAAACAGACAAAAAAAGGAAGGGGAAACTCTGCAGAAAATAAAAGCAACTTTGAGAGAAATATCAAAAGGCAACGAACTGCTGCCAGAAAAGAGAACAAAGAGACCAATCATTCGTGCATTCGAGTCAAGATCAAAAAGAAGAACATTCATTACCAGGTATGAAATAAGTTCTGTTAATTTATTTTTATTTCTCTAGTTCAATGTTGTGTTGCAGATGGAAGTAAAGAAAAAGGGTGCATAACCAAACACTCAGAACTAGTAACCTTCAGTTTATACAAGAAAACTGCCGGAAAAGGTTTTTTATGCAGGGAAGGTTTCTTAAATGATAGTCCGACTACTCTTCTATACCTGCAAAAACAACACAAAGCAGTCCAAAGAAAAAAATGGCAGCAGCCACATGTTTTCTTTCTGTCTAAATATGAAGAGAACAAAAACGCAAAAGAGCTCCGCTCCTCGCCGCTGCTAGAATCCCATGAATTTCTTCGGGGTGGCCTAGACCACCCCATGAAGTTCCAATCAAGGTCTAATGAAAGTCATTCTTTGCGGTCCAATGAGAAAACAGATGCATTTGTGGACAAAATAAACAAGGGAAAAGAAGTAAAATGCAACTTTTGCTCCCCTTGACCGACTCCTGCTTGGTCCAACTCCACAAGAAGAAAAGTTTTTCAAACACAACTCTTGACCAAAGACTACTACAAGACAAAAAGGAAAGAAAGGAAATTTCCCATTTTTTGAATAAACAGCTAAAAGAAGGTTCAAAGCCTTCTTTGTCACGTGAAGAAAGAACAGAGTGTTTTCATCATGTCAAAATTTCTCACCTGCTTTTCTGCCACAAACATTTAAAAGAAGGTTCAAAGCCTTCTTTGCCACGAGAAGATGGGACAAAAAAAAAAAGAGAAGGTTCAAAGCCTTTATATTAAACACTTGTTATCCCAAGTCTACAAAGAAGGAGAAGCTTGCTGCCAAATTATTTAGAAAACTCATTCACATGGCAAAACACCCAATGGACTAGAAGACAAGTCAAAACTACAAAAGATTTTGGGAAAAGCATTACTTTGTACAAGTGTTAATTAGAAAATATGGCAAGTATTCAAGACGAAATACGAATGGGAACACAAAAAGTGTGTCCAAATCCCCTTTGTCAAGACCAGTCAAATAATTTCCCCTGTGGAAACAGAAATGCCAGCGAATACTTACACTCTAAATACATCAAAACTCATTCAAAATACAGCAGCTACGAGGAATGCATTACTACGAATTTAAGGATGCAAACTCTCACCTTTGGAGCCATAAATCAACAGTTGTCTTCAACTAACTCGGGGGTGCAAAATGGTTTTGTCCAACAACCAATCGAAGAGATGCCGCTGTACCAGGATGCCTGCACGAAAGAATTGATAAAGTTCATTACATTTAGAGTTTCATTCCACTTCAAATACATAAAACAAACTCAGAACATAAAACGAAAATGGGTAACCTGCTTGATTTCTCCCCCTTTTCGTTTTCAAGTCTTTTGATCCACAAAGAGAAGAACAAACAAAAATGGCAAAGAACAAGGCAGCAGGAAGATGAGAACTCTTGTGTCCTGAGTAAAGTGGGACTTTGCGGTTTAAAGAGAAATGACGGAAAATTGAAGTAATTGGAACAAAAAATTTAAACTCCAACAAACCTTACCCATTCTTACTCTGAAATCCACAGATACCCAATCCAAATAGAAGTTTGAAATGCAACGAAGTCCACGGAAGTCCAAATATAGCGGAATAGTCGCTTGCTTCTAAAGGAAAACCACCAGATTTCAAAGCCAAGGGAAAGAGGATCGCTGAAGCCATCTTACTGGGGGGATGAGGATGCTAAATCCTCAAAACCATCAAGGAGAGGCACGGCAGGGACAAGAAATCAAGGCATGAAAAAACAGGGGACCTAAAACCTAAAAAGGCATTTATAAAAAATGGTACTTTACCACTTGCTTTTATTAAACAATAAAGCAAAGACTTGCTTTGCTACTATACTGCCCATTTAGTGTCAGGCATGAAGACAAGATGGAATGGGTTTCAAGACAAAGTAAATGAAGGCAAATAAAAGAAAGAAAGGTTGCTCATCACGTGGGAAGTATGGACTCACCCTAAATATACTAAGCTTTGATTATTAAAGGAAAAGGCATGGGTCATACTTGGCAAAAAACCATCAAATCAATTTTTTTTTTTGCCAGTCATCATCTTTTGGGCACCTTTCTTTTGCCAAAGTCTGAACACAAATCTAAATCAAATATTTTTTATGAACTACGCCGGTTTGATTCCGTTAAGGATACGTAGGCAGTCTGATATCAAGTTTTAGACACAACCGTGAAACCGAAATGAATCTCAGGTTTATATAAACTAAATTCACTCATACTATCAAATACCAAAATGGTACGAAGCCAAAGAAAAGTTTCAAAGGGCACAAAGCCGTATCAAATCTCGAGTGGCACGAAGCCAAAGAAAAATCTCAAATGGCATGAAGCCGAATCAAATGCTCCTCGTCCGCATGAGCTAAAACTGCATAAGGCACTATGCTCCTCACCCGCATGAGCTAAAACTGCACAAGGCATCAAATCCAAATAAATACCAAATCCATGAACTACGAGTGACTTGATCCATCAACGAGGGTACGTAGGCGATCTAGGATTCTACCTAGATGCAATCACAAAATCAAACAAACACCCAAATCCTCAAGTTATGATTTATTCAAATTAGAATCAAAGGGTATGCCTTTCCAAAAGAAGGGTTGTAATTAATAGGCGCGTAGCCTAGAATGGGTCGAACTCGAATTAATAAAACCCTCTTCGGAAAAATGAACGAGGGTGAAATTGTGTCGAGTGAATTATTTGTTTACATATTATGTACAATTTTTGCTCAACACGTGGCATTGGAAGTTTGAAATTGAAAAGTCCAAATAAAAAAGGGCCTTGTTCTCTCTCTTTGATTCAAAGCCTTTCTTTATCCTCTTTGCTTCTGTTGAGCACCGAAAGCACCACATGCAGAGCAAGTGGACAACAAGTGGATGTAAACAAAAAAAAAAACATCCAAATGCCTACTGCCTCGGTAGTTCATGTGACTTAAATATCAATTATGACTATGATTAAGTTATTAATTTTAGTCATCATTATGTTTGATTCATAAGTCAAGCTTGTGGAGTTTCAAATACACCTAAGGTTGCAGCAAGGGAGGAAAATATGAGCTTTTCTAAAATATAGATTACACCTCACGTGGGATTTGGAGTCCCACTTTATGTCTTCAAGCCTGAGTTATTTAAGGAAAAGACAAATAAAAGTCCTATTTCACAAAGCCTATTAGGCGATTACCGAATGTCAATATATGGGTTTTAAATAAATCCAATTGGCTTCTCATTTTGCCAAGTTTAAACACAAGTCTACAAATCCAAATAAAAGATTCTACGAACTACGTTGGTTTGATTCTGTTAAGGATACGTAGGCAGTATGATATCAATTTTAGACGCAACCATGAAATCAAGACGAATCCTTGATTTATATAAACTAAATTCACTTCTGCTACTTTGACCAAGTAATTACAAATTCTACAATGAGTAAAAGAGAAGTCTGGAAGCACAGTTCCTAGATTTCTAATTAATGTATGATGCTCATGCAACGAAGCCGAAGAAAAGTCTCAAATGGCATGAAGCCATGTCAAAAAACAAATGGCACAAAGCCGCTTCAAATGGCATAAAGCTGGTTCAAATTACAAATGGCACGAAGCCACATCAAATTTCAAATGGCATGAAGCCACATCAAATCCAAAAGACACGAAGCAGTATCAAATGCTCCAACAGCTTAAAGTCTTCACCTGCACGAGCTAAAACTACACAAGGCATCAAATGCTCCAACGACTTAAAGTCCCCGCCTGCACAAGGCATCAAATCCACGAAGCAGTATCAAATGCTCCAACGGCTTAAAGTCTTCACCCGAAGATATAATATGTTGGGATTATCTTGTAATATTCTTGATTGGATATGATTGATATTCCTTACTTGATGGAGTTTATCTTCAATTATGAAAGCATAAAGATAAGATTTAGTAATTAATCTTATTTTTAATACATTTGACTTTTCTCATTGCCATGAACAAAACAGCTTGATGAGGTTGTGGTCTCTTGCTCAAACATTTAAAGATGTTGAACTGCGCATGGATTAAACGTGAGCCTCGCCAATTTAATAAAGGCATTCTCATCTTTCACTAGTAAAAATTCACATGTCAGCTTCATAATTTTTCAAATTGTTTTTTTATGCACAAAATAAAGTATCATAAGTCTTATAATATTAGACACCCGAAAAAACACTCATTACAGTTGGCAAATTATTTTGTTTTAGGATAATCTTGTGTTCCCAAAACTTACTTGTTCTCTCACCTATGATTAATTAAAAAAAAAAAAAAAAGCAAGACAATATTGTCGCCCTCCCAGCTCCACATCGTTTACAAGGCATGTATATGATGAGTTCAGATGCCGGTACGGTTTTGTGGGAGAGTGCGGTGCCAATCAGATGTGGGATTAAGAGGGATAGCAACCGCCTGATGAAAATTCAATGCGAAAATAATTATATTGTGTTTTTCATAAACAAGTGCAAAGCTACGCACAATCAGTATCAACAGTGATTGGCTAATTTCGATACTGATTTATTTTAGAATTATTTCTGTCCAATTTCACGAGAAATTTTTCAGTGTGCTTAGAACACGGATATATACCCCATATGTTATTATACAAGTAGATGGATACTTGAAAAAAATATAAAAAAATATTTCCTCTACTTGTATAATGACATATGACATACAGTCCTGTGTTCCACACATATTAAGGGGGGTGTATTCAATTGGAATTTTGAGGGATTTTAATTCTTTTAATGAATCCAAGAGTATTCAATCTGGATTTTAAGTGATTTCTTGAAATTCAATGTGTATTCAATCATGATTTTAATATAGTTTATTACAATCGTTAGAAATCCGAGTGTATTCAATTAGAATTTTAAATAAGTTTATAACATTTCAGGTGTATTCAATTAGAATTTAAATTTAAAGAATTTGGAAAAGTTGAGGAATTATAGGGAATTTGAGAGATTTTGTAGTGTATTTTAAGCATCCACAAATTTCACATCTTCCCATAAGATTGCAAGAGAATTGAATTAAAATTTTACATAGAATGTCTACAAATCAGTTAAACTCCATAAAAATCTATGAATTTATAAATCCATTAAAATCTCTCAAATTACCAATTGAAAGCACCTAAGTCAGAAACAGAAAAATGAAATCTTGTCCCTCAAGTATAGGAAAGATTATTTGCGTGACACTAATCCCTAAAAACAAGGAACCCTAACGGCTAGGAAGTTCCAACCACTTTAACACTTCCGACTACCACTTTTCAATCCCACAATCGTCTTTTTTTCTGCTCATATTTGTTTTTCTGTCTTCCTCCCATTGCCGCCACCTTCAACCTCTCCAGCCGCCATTCAATAACAAACTCGCGAACCCTTTCCGCGGTTTTGAAATCTGGACACGTCTTTCTGTGTTCAAAGAATCAATGGTACCTTAAACTCCCATTTTTCTCTATATTTTAATCTTCCAAGTTCTCTGAGTTTTGACTTTTTCTTCTCGTTTCTATTTTAAGCTCGTATTAATTTTACTTTAATGTGTCTATCTTACACCTTAAACTTGTGTTATTAGAATCTGAGATTGTTTTATAATTCTGGGTTCTGAAATGTTTCACCTTCTGATTAGTTTGTGCATAATTTAACAGTTCACAACCAATGAAAATGTAATCTTTTTTGCTTTTCTGGTTTTTTATGTTTTGGGTTTTTTAGTGGAGGACACGTCCTTGGAGAAATGAGATTTGAGTGCTTATTAAACGGATTGACCTTGTTACTGCTTCTAATTTGATGTTACGAACCAACATTTTATTGGGTCCCAACTTGTTCAATTTGATACCTAGTAGTCATAAAGCAAAAATATTTAGTCCCTTTTCGACCTTAGCTATAATTGGATGTCATTGTGTCCATATCCCAAATTCATCAGGCGCTGTTACTTGGAATAGTTGAAATATATGACAATGTTAGATCGGGCTGAGATTTTGTGATGATTTATCTTACAAAGACGACAAAAGCAGATTGCATTCTATATATGAACTGAAATTCACAAAGTTTGAAGAGAAATCATAGATTATTTGTCAAAATAACTATTGGGTTTGCTGGATTTAAATCGGTTTGAAGGACATTCTGTGATTTGTCTTTTTATTTTTTATTTTTTTTGAGAAACATTCTGTGATTTCTTTGGCACTGAAATTTACTTTATGATTAATTTAGTTGGCAGACCCTTGCATTTGCTTTTTGTTGGTGTCGTGTGGTGTCACTGATAAAGTTGAGCAATTTTTTTTTCTTTTTCCGTGGTTAAACATAATTCCGCAGTGTAACAGTACTCTTTTGTTGATGAAAAACTAAGTTTAATTGCGTTATTGTATCTTCTTACTTGATGACAAGTAGAAAAATAAAGCGTACATTCTCCCGTTAGATGAATCAGTGACATCATTCATAATTCTATAATCTTAATACGTAGCATAATAAATATTATATGAATGGATTTATTTAGAGCTATAGGTTGTATTATTGTTGAATTTTGTGGAAATCTTGACGAATCGGTTTTGTCTCTTTCTTTTTCCTCGTGTAATGGCTGCTAGAGCTTATGTATGAAGTTCTGTCATTATACTTCATACGTATTTTTTTTTTTTTTTTTTGCTTTTTAAGATCTTGACTTATTCTTATTAAAGCTGAAAGAGTTGTCGCCGTTTGTTTGTATGCAAGTCTTTTGATTATTTTGACACACGGAGTGGTTAGGGCTCCTTCCAAAGTACAAACTATAGCATTTCAACGCTTGTAGCACAGTAATTGCATTATTTTATTTTCTCTACTGCATTTGTTCCTCTCATTTTTAGCTCTCTGAATAATCAACATTCGGATTTTATTGTAATTATTTGTGAAGTCACTTCAAGAGAAATCAAG